TTGCTCATGATTCCTCTGGAACACAGCCAAAAGCTGGCTATGCATCTCGTTTGCAGCAGGTTATAACAGCAAAAGAGTGCTCTACTAAGTTTTAAAGATGCTTGCCATAAAGGGGTTGAATAATTTTGAGACTGGAGAAGTCATTATAAGTTGCATTTTCCACTAAATTTGGGGAAACTATTTGAACCATTTATTGTCTTGTGCTATTACTATTGTTTTTGTATGATTTGTTCATCGGAAACAGCTGAAGGTCTGTACATTTTGAAAATAAACCAGATTTTCAATGGGGGTTGAATACTTTTGATTACATCTATAAGGGACCCCAAAATGTTTTGTTGGCTTAGTTATCTGTACATTAGATCTGTGCCTCTACTGTCAAAGCCTTCTCTGCCTTCCTGCCCACTATATGATGCTTGTTGAGTCTTAGGGAAACAATGTATGAAATCATAGGCCTGAGCCCCTTACTCTTATTTAGAATGGAGAAGAATCATTGAAGACATACAAATCTGTGCCATGGGTATTGCAGACCTCTTGCTCACACAACTAGGCTAACAGGATCTTCACTCCGGGTGTGCTAAGTAACAGGTACGTATGTGAGAGTTGGTTACCATATGGTGACCAGGGATATGTTCTCTAAATAATCCTTAAAACAATGGACTAGTTGGACAGATGTTGTATATGGCTCGCACTGGGCTTAGTTAAAAAGTGATCTCAGGGTATGATGTCCACCAATTAGCTATTAGTTTATTAGTTTATAAGTTAAATATTGGACAGCTTGTCTTGGTTTTGGATTACTTTGTAACTACATGAGAAAATAACTAGTCATTTGCATTAGTTCTTCCTACAATGACATCAGAAAATTCTTTAAATGCTTTGATTTCCACCAAAGATTTTTTTTCAGCTATACTGTTTTTTCAAAGATTATTATATCTGACACGTTAAATGAGTGTACTTTTCCTTTAAAATGTCCTACATGGTGTTAACATATAAAACCAACCAAAAAAGACAGATTATAGTATCTTATATTAACTTGCAACACATCTATTTAACTCTATTTTACTATAATTATAAATCACTATCAGGAAAAAAAAAAAGAAAATTAAAAAAAAGTTCCTGTTTAGAATCAATAATTTCTCTACGGCAGACTCTAGAAAATGCAATATCAGCAAAGGCTTAGAGCCATTTCATTTTTTGCCATCTGCCCACTACATAAATATCCAGTAAGTGCTTTTAATGGGCTGCAGGGAATAGACGTTATTCAACAGCACAAACTAAAAATCCAAGTTGTAATATTTTTGAACAGAATTTCTTTATACAAAATTCTGATGATGAAGAGGACTATCTAATGTTGTGGATGTGACAGACTATAAAAATCTTATGTTTGCAGATATTTATTTCTTGAGTATTCAGTTTCATCCGAATTGAGATTTGGCCAAATTTGGACCAATCGGTTCTTTATATGGACGTAAACTGGGCAAACAACAGAGTGAACCCCAAATATGTTTGGATGCTTAGAGATGTGCTTATCAGTGTACTGCAAAATATATACATAATAGTTATATGTATATATTTAGCATTACATTGATTAATCCATGTTAGTGCCTTTTTTGGTTTGTCCAAAGGTTTCCCAGAACAAATTTTCCATGAACATTGGTGAACTGTCAAATAAACAAGCGTCGGACGTCAGGAAACAAAATTCTGGCATGCACAAGTTTACCCCCTATAGCAGTAATTTCTTATCTTGGTACCCAGATTTTTAAAATGTACATTGCCTTTAAGATCTGACTGATTGAGCATCGTGGGGATTGTACAACGATGTGTGGTGGTAGCAATCAGTATCCTATAGTTTCACAACTGACTCTTCTTACAATATGTCTTACCGAACCCTGTTTTCCAATGCTATGCTTACTATTATAGGTATTGGTTAGAGCAGGGGTTCTCAACGTTAGTCCTCAGGACCCCCTACCAGTCCAGGGTTTAGGGATTTCCTGGGTGTGTCTAAGGTGTTTAGAAAAAAAAAACACCTTAGACTCTAAGGTGTTCTTTTCCCTTTTTCTAAACACCTGAGACACACCCAGGTAATCCCCAAATCCTGGACTGGTAGGGGGTCCTGAGGACTGGGTTGAGAACCCCTGGGTTAGAGTGTCTGTATTCTAATGTCACTGGGGACAGGGTTTTGCCAGCCCTGAATTAAACATCTTCACAAATCATTACCTTTAGGATAACCTGTCATTAAATGTGTCAGTATGGATGTGTACAGAATCCCAAGTAGGTCAACATTATTTGTTGCCAAATTCTAGCTGTGCAAATCGCTTCTACCATACATTTCTTAAAGAGACACTCCACTACACAAATACAATGTAAAAAAAAATCACCATTTAGTATATGTTCCCCACCATAAAAAAACATGCATGCATTTAAATGTACATTTTGTATTGGTCATATATCTAAAAACAGCTTGCAAATGCTGCAGTTCTATTGTCTGTAGTCTTTGTAGGTTTCCCTTCTAACTCCGCCCAGACTTTCTGTGGCTGTCCAATCACAGACTTCCCAATGCAGCTCAGTTAGAGGTCTTTGCAATTTAGTGGCTTTGAACAATTTACTGCATCTTGAGATTAGCTCCCCTGAGCTAAACAAACCAGGAAGTAACAGGACTAGTTATATGATTGACAACCATGTAACACATTTAATGTGTGAGGACACACACTTCACACCTGAAGCACTTAAGCAAGATAAAAACGCTTTAGGTGGCTTTTGTGTTCTTTTAACAGCGCTATATGTATGTGGTATATAATTAGAATATGATTTTGTAAACTGGGCTACTTTGACAAGAGGCAGGTTAAATAGTAAATGGATCACTGCATAGGGAATTATCTGCCCTAAGAGGTTGCTTTTTGATAATATGTGAGATGACTGCAAGTCTATCAAAGTTGAAATCTGATTGCCATTTTGGAGCAAAGAAGGATATTATTTTCCCTTTTCGTACTATAATTGGAAATTTATACAGATTGGTGTTATTATTTTTTTTTGTCTCTTTTAGATACACAACTGAAACAAATGTGTTAATGGGGGAATTTGATAGACTCCAGTATTTTTTTTAAACCTAGATTGCTATGTAGCTATGTAACTATATATATGACTAGTTCCAAGTTTGTTAATGCACGATTCCTCCTTTAACCTCATGAGGAATAAACCAATTTTCTTAATGGCAGGAAAGTTATTGCTTTGTTAAATAGTCTTACTTTTAATGCCTGTTTAATGTACGTGGTTGGATGAGACAGATGTCGTGTGTCCTTCTCATCATATAAACACTCCCTTATCTTACAGAGACTATATAACATCAGTTACAGCCTCATTTACTGTACTCAAGATTAACAGTCTGGCAAATTAACTTGACTGAACGATGGCCTTTCATTTGAATGACGTTCTCTCGGTGTAATTTGTATTTAGATTTCTCGGAGCACACCTATCAGATTAAATGCCGCTGTTTCAAAATAACCGACAATGCGTAACTGCCGTGCCTGAATCCAGAAAAGCATACAAGCTACTTGTCAAATCAACATGTCTTGGAGGAAAAGCGTAACCCAATCTCTCCTCAAGCCGAAAAGGTTTTTGACAATCGGTTCTGTTGTGTGCCTTGTACAATGACATTGTTAAAAAAGAGGAGATATCTGCTTCTCTCCCTGGAGAGTTTACAAAACAGTCCGGATCTGGTCTTAATTCTGTAACTCACTGTGAATTTATTCTAACATAAGAAAAAGGATAAGAGCAGAGGTGAATAGAATCAATAGTTGATATACCCTTAAAACCTTGTTTTATAATTAAATGTAACACCCTCAGGGTATTATTGCAGTAGTGTATTCTATATGTAGCTACTAGATTAATAATAAGTTCTCTCCCATTAGAGTGCATTGCTATAGTCTAAACAGTTTAATTCAGTGTTATGACATTGTTACGTGCTCCTTAGCAGCCTGGCAGTATAACGTAGAGCCCATATTATCAGTTTTGGGTGCACTAGCTATAAAACTAGAGGTGCTGAAAACTGTTTAGACAATCAAGAATATGGATGGATTAGCCATTCTTTACTGCCTCAATAGCTGAGGCCCAGTGAGTTATTATATACTGTGTTCATTGTGCATATGGGCTGTGGTGGGAGCACTAAGCACTGAAAGCACTCATTAGTCGGATACGCTAACGGTATTTCAGCAGTAGCAGCTATATTTTAGATTTGTATAAGTTACCTTGCCCTTTAAATTGTTCTTATTTGCATAGAGAAGCATTGGACGAACTACCAGTGTCTGGTATTAGCAAACTTTGCATACTGACCCTGAACAGAACTGAAAACTTTAGTCTGAAGGCCCTAGTGGCTATCTGAATGGCAGTCATTAGAAGTGTGGGAATGTAAACAGTGCAAATTGTCAGAAATGGTCCTGGTTTCAATTGCAAGGCTGCAGAGGTACCATCAGTGCACCAAAAGCACTTTATTACGATGAAGTGATTTTGGTGTTTAGATGATCCCTTCACTATTGAAATCGCAAATGATTGATGCAACCAGTAATTGGATTTTTTCATGATTCACATTTTAATGTCAAGCAAAACATCAGGTCTTTTAATTAGTCCTACCTTGTCTAGTAATTAACAGCTCAGGAGTAATACAGCTCGGAAGGCCATATTTACAGTGCTTTTCATGATCTCATATGATAGCTGAACTTTCGTTAATTCCGCACAAAGCTGTCTTTCAGTTTTGGTTAACCTTTGTGACTCCATGTGTTGTGGCTGTTTGGGAAATGTGCTCCATAACAGCTGAAGTTCCAATGGCATCCATCACTGCCTCTTTATGTCACAAAAATATATTCAAGTGACCCAACTCCTAAATATTACAATCGAAGGCCTTGATTTAATGCATTTGGTGAAGCTTTTCTAATAATTAAAATCTGTGATTATTTCCAAATTGTTTATTACATCATTTGATACCAGTATATTACTTTCACGTATTATTCCCATATTTTTACATCTGATTTGGGTGCTTTCATATTTGTCAAATGTCAAAACCATTACCCAAAAAAGTTAGGAATCCACCAATGGCGACCAACTAATTTGCGACTTCTAAAGGCCTTTGATGTAGGGTAGACAAACACTGGGCACAAAATACACAGGAACTGGCATATTGTAGATCACAAAGGCAACATTTTTGAATCCAAGTGCTCTATTTTCTATAGATAATGGACATATCAGCACTCATTAAAACTTTCAAGAGGATGTCCTCGGTCTCCGATGTCTAGCCAAGGATCCAAATATGTACTGTCACTTTCTATATGTATTGCTCTGATCTATATATTTGCATTGGCACTTTAAAAATGGTATTCCTAATTCTTAAATATTCTTCGAGGCCATATAATTTCCTTTTCGCGTGTTTGATTTGCACTGGAATTTTATTGCACCATGTTTATTTCTTGACAAAGACCCTTTGGCTGGGTCGAAACGCTGCTGTAAGTGTTCAATAAAGGAAACTTATAAACACTCGGAGGTGGTGGACTATTTGATTTTTATCTCAATCTTCTACAGAAACCTGATTTTCATTTTCTCTATTTTAGGACTCCTGTCCTTTTTTGTTTCTTTGCTCTTTTTTCATTTTAGATTCCCTTTCCCCCCATCATCAGTCAGTTTCCCCTTTTTACACTCTGTATCCTGATTTATTCTTTCTTACTTTCCCGCACAGTTACAACATCACGTTTCCCTCTAGCTCATTATCAGCTGCTGAAAATGATCTGGGAACTTGCTGTTTCTTTATGCTTGGTAGACTTCCCATTGGAACATTATTTGTTTTGCAATTCCTGCCATTCTCACATTCTCACCTCTGGAGAACTAGTATTAAGAACTTCTTAAAATATGTGTAGACCTCAGATCAACAAAAAAGAAACAACTTGTAGACCTTCTAATTGGCAAGGTGGTCGTTTAGTAAATACCTAATCAATTTATAGAAAAAAAATCATCAATATACCCAAATAACATCATCAAATGATTGAAAGTTTGCATTCAAATTATTGACTTTGTGCTAATTTAAAAGGAAGTGGTCTGTAATAATTAGACTAGATGGGATTTCACCCAGGACAATCAGTTTGCTTTTCACAATTTTAAAGTGGTTATAATATTGTAGTCTTTTAATAGGTCTGGCATTACGATTTGACAACAGTGTTTTTTATAATGATTGCCTTTCTACTATTGTTTTTAAAGCTAAATGTTTTCATCTTAATGTATTAGGAAGATCAGACATTTATTTTATTTGGTGAGTAATATTTATTTTATTTATAGATAATTATTAATGGGAATAGGGGGTCTTCTAGTAATATTAAAAGTGAGACTTTATTTATTTTTTTTTTTTTTTAGAAATTCAATCGCCAGCCAAATTCTACCTTTAAAGTAACAATTTAAAATGAAAAATAAATATATATATTTTTATTACTTTTGTCCAGTCCAATGTTTTTTTATAGAGAAGCATTGACAACCTATGGTGCAATCACAGCAAAGATCATGCTCTGCCAGATGTATGCTTTTCAAAAAGAAGCATGAAATCCCATTCTGCTCTGTGAACACCGTTTGGCATCATCACCGTCTGTGCTGTGATGCCAAGAGCAAAGACCTTCGTTTTCAAAGGTCTTAATGGAGAGATCTACTGACCGATTGACAGCCACTAGAGGCGTGTTCACTTAGAGTCTCCCTTTTAAGACTTACGGAACCTCTACAAATAGAGTGATACATTTGTATAGGCTAAAATGTCACAATGACGAAACATAATGGCACACCAACAGTAATCAATTGATCGTTATTCATTCTCACAACAATCACTCAAAGAAAGAGTCTTAATCAATTTGCACATTTCATCTGTCACAGAGCATTCTATGACTTTTAAATATACATTTAAAAAAATTTGACTCCTGTATGGACTATAGATTTTGTTTCCCCTTTCTGAGGAAAGAAATTGTCTGTTGCACTATATAGAAACATAGAATGTGACGGCAGATAGGAACCATTCGGCCCATCTAGTCTGTCCAATTTTCTAAATACTTTCATTAGTACCTGGCCTTATCTTATAGTTAGGATAGCCTTATGCCTATCCCACGCATGCTTAAACTCCTTTACTGTGTTAACCTCTACCACTTCAGCTGGAAGGCTATTCCATGCATCCACTACCCTCTCAGTAAAGTAATACTTCCTGATATTATTTTTAAACCTTTGTCCCTCTAATTTAAGACTATGTCCTCTTGTTGTGGTAGTTTTTCTTCTTTTAAATATAGTCTCCTCCTTTACTGTGTTGATTCCCTTTATATATTTAAATGTTTCTATCATATCCCCCCTGTCTCGTCTTTCCTCCAAGCTATACATGTTAAGATCCTTTAACCTTTCCTGGTAAGTTTTATCCCGCAATCCATGAACCAGTTTAGTAGCCCTTCTCTGAACCCTCTCTAAGGTATCAATATCCTTCTGAAGACACGGTCTCCAGTACTGTGTACAATACTCCAAGTGAGGTCTCACCAGTGTTCTGTACAATGACATGAGCACTTCCTTCTTTCTATTGCTAATAATTAATTAATGCTGTGCTTCACAGTCGCAGTCATGTATAGAATATACAGAATGGAATATATATGTATATATGTATATATGAATATAGAAAATGCAAAGGGAAATCAAATACAATAAAATATTACAGTTATACCGTTCATCAAGTCTCAACTGATGTTTGATTAAGCGAACGGCGAACCAATTGATTTTTGCCAGTGAGAGTACGTACCCAGTGTACTATGCGAATGGGCTATAACCACTTAAGCCTCTAGCATTTCGGGAGTGTGGGAACGAACGGAGTATACAAAATACATGGAGTTCGTTACAAGTTGTAAGAAGGGGCTAAGGGTGTCTGTGTGTGCTGCTTGAGTATTGTATCTGTAGTTACTGAATACTGTTTGGGTGTGTGTGTGTATAGGCCCCCTCTTCTTGCTTACTTTTCCTCGTGGTTTAGTGGGGGGTGAGCAGGATCTCTAGTGATCCAATGCAAGGTGAGCTGGCTTTAGGAGGGCCCACTCTGAGCTGGAGGCCCAGGCCCAGATAGAAGCCCACCAGACCCCTTTATCAGCATGGGCCTCTCTTGGCTGCCTTGTTCGACAAATGTGTACTCTGGGTGTAATATGTATCACTATTGGAGTTGAACAGGGTAATATCTGCCTAAAAGATTGGTGGACTGATTTAAGAACCGTTGGTCTACATTCCACCAACATAAAATGTCACTGTCCTAGAGGCTTAGCAAAGAGATAGCAACCCAAATCATTGAAATTAATATTATTGTGATGCCTTGGATGAAACATTTCAACAATTTCAAAGATTTTTTTTTAATGTTTTTCCAGAAACCTTCAATGTCCTTCGAAATCTCTATCTCTAAACCACCATTTGTGTCTATGGGACTTCTTTAGATTTCTTGATATAGAAGCCAGTGATAACATGGAACTGCAGTGGGTTCTGTAGAATAGCTACTTCTTGACAGACACTTGTAGAAATTGATTTTTGATTACAAAAGGACTTGAAGTTCTGTAATATTTGCTTGAACAAGAGACAACCTTATCAAAGAAGGGGAAATCACTAATTTTCTGAAAGCCAACATCTTTAGCTCTTAACAAACTCTCTTTTAACGTAACAAATCATCATAAGACTTTAAACAATTCGGAGATCATCGTTCTTTGTAATTATTCAAAGAGATCTGTTGTCTCTATCAAAGCTGCAATTTTCAGATATCTTCACAGCTCATGCATGCATAATGAGGAATACAATGCATACTATATATTTTATGTAGTCAGAGTCAGCTTTTCCAAAATGTGTGATAATTAGCATTGATATGTTTCGTTCTCTTCATTTTAAGCATATTTCTGGTTGTTTATTTAGATTAAATGTTTGGAGAACTTTACCAGACTTCTGTATTACCCAGAAATTTTGTTTTCATAATAAGCCCTGTGAAATTAACATTTTACAGTTATAACAGCAATAATAATCCATTGTCAAATGAACACAGTAATGCTTTATAATCTTGTATTGAACACCCTTTTCATCCAGTATTTGATGAATTCTCTCCACTTGGCGCTACGTGGAAGTAACTAGTTAGAAGCCGTGTCTATCATCCTGGCATGGCTTCCCACTAGTTATCTCCAATATGTTGGTGACACTATTGTTAGGAGCTCTGCCTATCAGCCTGGCAGAGCTCCTAACTAGTTACTTCAATTTTGGCATGGAAAAGGAGACTGGGAATTTATGTGTCTAAGGAGCTGTGGCAGCATCAAAACTAACTAGGGAACGGTGGAGTACAAGCTATAACTTTAGTCAACACCGTGTCCAATGCTCATTTTCAGAGGCTTTGTTAGTGAGGGACTTTAGGGACTAAGTATTCAGGGCTGGAAGCAAGGGTCTATCGCAAGTGTGTAGGCATTGACCAGTTAGGGAGCTCAGAGGTATTTCTCAAATGGTCCTCTAACAGTTGCAGAGAGAAGGATACATCACAACTTAATACAGTTCCCACCTTCCTGGGCAGTGCATCGAACACCTGACTTTGCTCTTTTATGGAAACATTTTATGGGACTTATCAACTTATATTTGTATATTTATATTTTTTCCAAGGAGGCAGTCATGTATATCAAGGTATGCAACTATGGGTTTAGAATGGAGCATGAAATATATATCAGATGATAAAACTGGGTGTTATATATAATCAACTAAAATAATAAAAATGCTATAAAAATATTTGAATAAAGATATAAAGGATATTTTTTTTAGAACCAGTAACATACAACTTCCCATCTCACTGACACTCAAAGGCTTTACTCTCAAAGTGATGTGCAATTGAAATCTCTCCAAATCATTACCGCAATCACTTGCCATACTTACTAATCTTTTATTAATGCGGCTGACATTTACTCAGTTAATTACTTTAGACACCTTCAATCATTTATAAAAATTAAATATGGAGTTCACACTTCCTAATATAAGGGTAATTTAAAAAAAGATCTTAAATAGGTCTCAAAATTGGTCTCAAAATTGCGATGTTCTGATCATTTAAAAAAAATAAAAAAATTGCTACGTTCTTACATCCTCTCCAAGGAACGCCGTCTGTTGTATATAATTGATCTGGTTTAACTGTAATTCCTTACTGTCAAAACATCAGATCTTGAAGAGATAATGTCATTGT